TTTTTTTTTTTTTTTTTTTAAATCATATTTATTTATTGAGATTTTATGTTCCTATGTTTTTTTTTTCCCCCCCACATGTGCTGAAATCCATAAAGAGGTCCATTTCTGTGGTTGTTTTGGTTTTTGTTTTTTTTTCCTTTTTTCCATCCAGTGAAGAGAATTAAGTAGCCTAACTGTGGATTATACATCAACTATCTACTGGCCTGGTGCTCACTATTTGAAGATAACGTGCAGTACAATTCAAGAGAACCGTTTTTGCTTAATTAGATCAGTTGATTTTTCCCCCCCTTGGTTTTTCATTCGGGCTCTTCCATTCTGACCACCTAGATTTTATTTGGATTAGTTTCGGTAACTTCTTTGCTAAAAAAAGGTTGGTATTGCTCTGCCCTCTGCATATTTTCTTTCTCTAACCTTCATTAGTGCTTTGTTTAATATTAGTCTTGCACTGCTTTTAGGGAAATTGGTTAATTTTGATGCAAGAGAGAGAAAAAGAATACGAGTGTGTGTGTGTGTGTTATATAAATGTTTTATTTGTCATCTATATGTCTTAATGCAAGTGCCTTTTCTCCAGCATCACATACTGCAAAATATTATTCACACATTAAACATATTGATCTAAACCCTGCATGGCATTTTTAATTTCAGTACCGCAGAGGTCCTCGGTAGAAGAATTGTCCACTTGAGATTCATTATTTTACCAGCAGAAATTCACATTCAGTCAGCCCTTGAAATCAGTTCCCCTGAATACCCCGAGGAAACTAAAGTGCCCAGTATTTATTTATTTGTTTTTGACAGAAAAGTTACTAAAAGTCTTTGGACAGCTTTGTGTCCTGTGACTGTGTGTGCATTTACATGATTTAAAAAAAAAAAAAAAGCTATTTGTCAGTAAGTCCTGTTGCTTTAAAAAAACAAAATAAAATTAGACAACTGACTTTTTATATTTCTTTCAGTTTGAATTTTGAAGTGGCACCAAAGAAAAACCAAAGTGGTTGGTTTTTAGTTTTTACAGACAGTGTTCAGTCTATCTTTACAGTCAAATCGTTCAGCTTATTTTTAAAAGTGTGTAAAATGTGGTGTTATTTTTACAATGAGAGCTGATTTCCTAAAACCTCTGATTCTTTTCAGTGAAACTTAAAAAACAAAAGAAGTTTTAGAGCACAACAGATGTTAGCGTTGGCAAACAGCAACGCCAAAGAAGAGGCAAATGTTTGGCTTTGAAGGCAACAAATCAAAAATTGACAAGCGACAGAGGCGTGGATTCTGCGAAGGCAAGCATGTCAAGATCGTGACATTAAGAGTGCAGGCGCTGCTCTTTATAGCCATGTCAAGCTACTGAAATGGAAACCACATTTTATCTGGCCTGCCCTCAACTGTGTCTACGCTGGACTTGCCAGTTTTCACTAGAGTGCATTTTAAAGCCAGACGTGCCTGTTTTGTTTAGAACCATAATAACTCTTTTCTTTCCCTCTGTTCTTAATTCGCAGTAGTTCAGAAAGCCGTGAGCGTGCATACGATCACAGCCCATATGGACACCATGAGCGGAGTGGCACTTTCGACAGACAGCGCCACTACAACGCTGACTATTACCGTGATCGCTCTGTGTTTGCTGCCGCTGGCCCAGGGAGCAGTGCCATTGGGGGAAGCTTTGAGGCGTCAGACCCACATTTTGACTCTAGAATTCGAGACCCTTTCACTCTTACTAATTCTACACGACGTGACCTGTACAGGGATGACAGAGGACGGCGTGTTGATAGAACCTATCATCACCGTCGGAGTCGATCGTCTCATTCCTCACAGTCAAGGCACCCTTCCCCACAACGGACCACAGGGCAAACCCCCAAAACTCCTCATTCCCCTAAAAGAGCCCCTTTGTCCCCCGGGAGAGGCCCCAGATCTCGATCCCGCAGTAGATCTTCAAGCTCCGATTCTGTCAGCAGCACCAGCAGCACGGGCAGCGGCAGGTGTGGCATTTGTTTTGTTCAAGTTTGTCCGATTTGACCGGATAAATACATTCTGTCCAAGAACACATCATCATCATTGCTGGTTTATTTCTAAATACTTCAACTGACTCACAGCGTTTGTGTGTTTTTTTTGTTTTTGTTAATGACAGTGATTCAAACAGCAGCTCAAGCGATAGATCTCGGGCGCGTTCTGTTCAGTCATCCGCAGCACACGCACCTCCTCAGTCCTCCATGGGGCTCGATTCTGAAGAGCCACGTAGGAGCTTTGGAATTAAAGTGCAGAACTTACCAGTGCGCTCAACAGGTCAGTTTTTACGTTGAACAGCCACTTCAGACTCATTAGTCACGTCCTGAAAGGGCTGGATTACATCATGTCGTCCATGAGATTAGTTTTGCCTGAACTGGGTTAAAAAATGGATCAAAACGCGCCGCATATGATGTAAAAAAAAAACAATTTAGCTTGTGCCCAATCAGTGACCATAAACCTTTTGTTTTCTTCTGTTGGAACACAAGGAGCTTACTGTAATCAGGTGACCTTTCATGGACTAAAGTGTTTGCCTGAGAACACCGTGACGATAGTAATTGATTACCATGATCGCTGCCGTTGTAATTTAAACGGCACATTGTTGACAACAGGAATCTCCAGTCCTGTGCCACTAAAGTCTTTTTAAATTGCTGTCCAAAATCATGTACTTGACATGTTTTTTACATGCTAAGGGATCGTAAACTAATCTATTGTTCCCGTTAGTGTTTTTATTTGAGCTGGAGTGATTAATATGCACAGTTTCAGTGACATTTTACTCTGTCGTTTTTCAGTACTGCTAAATAATCTGTGTAATATTTTCAAGCACCAAAGTGAGATTGAAACTGTACTTTAAAAATATTTATTCACTTGTGCGATTTTTTTTTTTTTCTTATTTTTTGTCACAGCAGCTTCTTTATATACACCATATGCTTCGCTGTGTCGTGTCTTGTGGCCATTAATTTTGGATGTGAGCCCACTGGTATACAGGTCACACTGCTTCTAATATTTCCATAGTTGTGCTCCTGCCAGCATACTCCTGTGATCATACCAAAGGCGCCCAGGCCACAATCCTAAATTCTGTAGCCTCCCATTAAAAGCTCGCAGCTATTTCAAATAGGCCTAATTGCCTTCTTTAAAAGCAAAGCTACTTCATCGCCTTCCTTCACAATTAATCACCCACAATACAGAATCAGTGCATCGTTTTTGCTTGACAGTCACATCAGTGCCACTGTTACAGGAGTTGAGTCTGGTTTAGTGTGGAAAGTAAAAGGATGTGAGAGGAAAAAAAACAAAAAGTCATCCTCCCCCAACCATAGGTTTAGATCGGAATGAACTGTACCAAAAACAATATTTTGATTCTGATTATTATTTCGTTGGAAAATGTGTTTTCAGTTGATTCAGCAGCAGACTAATAACTCATCCACTTCCCTCCGCAGACACAAGTTTAAAGGATGGACTCTTCCATGAATTCAAGAAACATGGAAAAGTGACCTCAGTGCAGATCCATGGAGCGTCAGAGGACCGCTACGGTTTGGTCTTCTTCAGACAGCAAGAAGATCAAGAGAAGGCCCTTAGTGTCTCCAAAGGAAAGCTGTTTTTTGGCATGCTTATTGAAGTCACTGCCTGGAATGGACCTGGTAAGTGATGACAAACACAACAGTGTGATAAATACCTCACTGGTGCATATTATGAGAACTTATTTGTGTCTTCCAGTATCCATATTACCATGCTATTTAGTATGCCAGAAGAATATTTAATATGTCCATATACACAGTGTGTCGTATTTAATATGCCAAAGATCCGAGGATGCTCCACTACATCTGGTTGGATATTGCAATATGCAAGCCAGCATGCGTTTCTGACCCACACTTCTTTATACAGTCATGTCACGGTGTCAAGTAGAAACAAGCTTGAGATGCTGAGACTGTACAGACAGATGACAGCTCATTTCGCAGTACAGACTGCAACAGGGAAACTTGAAGGTGGATTATTGTGACTATGACATAGTATGTCTCAGTTACATGTAATCTGCATGAAACAGTGTGTACTCTGTAAGGGCAGCTGTAGTTGAGTAGCACACCACTAGTGTTAATGATTTAAATGAACCTCCTCCGTCCCTCAGAAACGGAGAGTGAAAATGAGTTCAGGCCCTTGGACGGGAGGATCGATGAGTTCCACCCAAAGGCCACAAGGACACTGTTTATAGGAAACCTTGAGAAGACCACCAGCTATCAACAGCTCCTGGACATTTTCCAGCGCTTTGGTGAAATTGTGGTAAGCTAACGTTTGACCATATGCTGTACAAGTCAGTTTGCATGTTTTACACCTACCATTCTCTAATTGCTGTCTTTTCTCCTCAAGGACATTGACATCAAGAAAGTAAATGGAGTTCCCCAGTATGCTTTTGTCCAGTATTCTGATATTGCCAGTGTTTGCAAGGCCATCAAGAAGATGGATGGAGAGTATCTGGGGAGCAACAGACTAAAGGTAGTGTTTTTACCGTAAACAAATGCTACATTTCTGCTCTGTGTATGTTTTCCATCCAATGTGCAGCACTCTGTGCGTATAATAAGCATGTTGCTCTCTTTCTCCTTGAAGCTCGGTTTTGGGAAGAGTATGCCCACAACGTGCGTTTGGCTTGATGGTTTGGCAACCAATATTACAGAGCAGTACCTCACACGGCATTTCTGCCGCCACGGACACGTAGTTAAGGTAAGGTGTTCTCATTTTTTTCTCTCTTAAATTTGCTGCTTTTGGTTTTTAGTGGTTTTTTTTGTTTTTTTTTCCAGAACTTTAAATGAAATGTTGTCTGTTTTTAGGTTGTGTTTGATAGATTGAAAGGGATGGCCCTCATCTTGTACAACAACACAGATTTTGCTCAGGCCGCTGTGAGGGAGACCAAAGGCTGGAAGATTGGTGGCAATAAAATAAAGGTGAGATATAAATTACTGGCTTGATTAGTAAGATATTCTATGTATGTGTTTATGTGTGATTATTTAATTTGTATGTTTGTTTGTTTGTCTGTGATAGGTGGACTTTGCTAGTCAGGAGAGTCAGATGGCGTTCTACCGATCTATGCAGGCATCTGGTCAAGACATTAGAGACTTCTATGAAATTCCTCCTGAACGACGGTAAATTCCCCATTTTGTTAATTGCATGCAGTTTTTTTCTTTTTGTAGTTTAAAAATCATGAAACCCTGACAACATATGTCTGATGTAACGTGGTAGTGTTTGGAGTCACACTTCTGTTGCCAAGTATGACTTTCTCTGAGTGGGAAAATGACAGATTAGTTACGAAACTCTGTACTGTTGTCTCCATTCACTCTACAGAGAGGATCGCAGACCTCCATATCATGAATTCACAGCAGAAAGGGCTTACTATGAGAATATCCGAACCCCTGGTCTGTATCCAGAGGATGCTCGAAGAGACTATGCTGCACGCAGCAGAGAGCGCTTTCCCGAATTGGAACATTATCAGGGGGATCACTTTGACCCACGCTATCATGAAGACCCGAGAGACTACCGGGACTACAGAGACCCCTTTGAACAAGACATAAGAAAATACACATACATTCAAAGGGAGCGAGAAAGAGAGCGAGAACGTTTCGAGGCCGATCGTAGCAGATGGAGCCCTTCCCACCCGAGGCGACCTATCACACCCACGGTATCGCCTTCACCGTCTGACCGTGCTCCCAGAGACTCAGAGCGACGGGTTTACAGCCAGTCCTCCGAGAGAAGTGGTAGCGTGAGCTCAGTGTCGCCGCCACATTTTGACAAATCTGAAAAGACCCTGCTAGAACACGCCGCGAAGAGTGAGAAGAGCAGTCAGCCGGATCGCGTGGCAGGGGCTGAGAAAGTCAAGCGGGCGAAACGGAAAGAGAAAGGTGACAAAGACAAAGCTGAAAAGATCAAGTCAAGGAAAGCAAAGGGGCTGTCCCCATCCAACCCACTACCTGAAACAGAGATTGAAACTGGTTTTGATGGAGGGTCTGGAAGAGGGAGGGGATCAGACCAAGATGTGCACGAGAGACAGAAATGTAAGGGAGACGTCGATACTCTTACTGGAAATCCATTGCCAACTTCTCATCAGGATTCTGTGAAGAGCGAAAGATCTGAAATGAGTAAAGGTGATGCTTCGGACTTGGATGGGAGAAACCGACTCAAGAAACATCTGAAGTCAGAGGCTGGAAATGAGGGGAAAGATTCATCGGTGGATTCAGATCGCCTCGCCGCGAGAAAAAGGCGCTTTGCAGATTCTGGTGGAAGGACTGTTCGTCAGAAGAGAGGCAGACATGACGAGGAGGATGGTACGCAGTCTTCTGACTTTGGTGTCAGTGCTACATATTTGAAAGAATCAGACCTCGAGAAACACAAAGAATCCCAGCGGAGAGATTCAAGACTCAAAACTGATAAAAGTGGCACTCAAAAGGATGGTCAAGAGGACATTAGAGGACAAAGAGAAAAATCTGAGGGATCTTTGGACCCGCTGGAGTCAAAACGACACCCAGGGCACGCTTCGTCCAGACGATTTTCACAAGAGAGCATCACAGATCAAAGCAGCGCAAGAGATCAAGACCACCATGCTGCTTTCAAATTTGGTCAGAATACTGAACCTAACAAAAGTGCCAAGAACAAGGAAGACCATGTTGACATTGACCTCTCTCAGAGTTACCGAAAGCAGATGGAGCAAAACAGACGTTTGCATCAGCAGCAACAGCAGCGTGAGTCCGACAAACTTGACAAACCAGGAAGTCCCCAAGGAAGTGAAATGGAGGACTTGGAGCATCGCAGTCTTGTGCATGAAGTTGGTAAGCCACCTGAGGACGTCACAGATAATTTTCCATCTCACAAGTTAAAGAAACTCGACCAGTTTGACACAGACCCGGGGATTAAGAGAGAGCGTGTCTACAGGAGCTTTAGACAAAAAAGTGAGGATCCTGACTGGAACAACACCTCCTCTCCAGGACATCAGCACTTCTCCCACCATGCAGATGAGGATTTTGCGGATGCTCCTCACAAAGAGTTGAGTAGAAATGATGAAAAAATTCACCCAGATCTGGAGCTGTTGGTCAAAAAGCCACCTAACGCACAGCTGAACAAGACAAACACGCCTTTGCTCAGTGTGGAAGAGGAGCAGCAGAAGAGATGGGAGATCAGAGTTAAACAAGACTTGTTGCCTGACCTGAACTTTTCTAGAAGTCTAAGTAAGAACATTCACAATCGCAAGCGTTTGGAATATGGAATGTGGCCTGACTTGGAACCTGGGGAAGTACGATCTGACTCTGAAGAGGACAGAGAGAACAAACCCGTCTCTCCCGTGCCCTCCACATCCATGCCTTTTTCTGAAAGGCCAAGGGTCGACAGGTTTTCAGACCCCAAGCTAGCACATCTGGAAAGGAACAAATTCTACTCCTTTGCACAGGACCAGACCATCACACCTGACACAAAGGCTCTGCTTGAGCGGGCAAAATCTCTCTCATCCTCCAGAGAAGATAACTGGTCATTTTTAGATTACGATTCTCATTTTGCAAGTTTCCGCAACAGAAAAGACACTGAAAAAGTAGAAGCAACACCACGACCTACGCCTTCCTGGTACATGAAAAAGAAAAAGAAAAGCGGATCTGAAGACAAACTGGATGACAGGAAAGAGGAGCCGAAGCCCGAGGAACCGGAACGAAGGGAACTGTTTGCCTCCCGCTTCCTTCACAGCCCTGTCTTTGAGCTGGACTCTAGACGACTTCAACACTTGGAACGCAAACATGAAGAACCTGAGCATAACCAGCAACCTGCTCAGCAAGGGTCAGTAGACGGTGAACTGGACTCGGGGCCGGTTGTCCTCTTCCACAGTCGTTTTTTGGAACTGACACGACTCCAGCAGCAGAAGAACAAAGCTCAGCAGCCGCCAGAGGCCAAGGGAGACGCAGTGCTCACAGATGAAACTAAAGTGGAAAAAGCCCCTGTTCAAGAGCAGCAAGTTGTACAGTTACCTGAAACCGCAGAATCTATCATGGAGCCAGAAATCAAACCCATCAGTCCTGCTGAAGAACTGATTCCTGAACCCCGACTCACACCTAATCCTGTCCCCCAGCCTGTGGTCAAGGACTTCTCTCCATCAGAAGAGAAATGTGTTCCACTAAATGCAGCCCCTGATCCAAATCCCCCGGTGGCTTTTGTAAAGGAAGAGGTAAAAGAAATTGAACATATTGTGCCCATTTACCACCCACCAACCGAGACGGCATCAGAACCTGAACCTGCACCTGTAGCAGCATCTGAACCTACCTATCCAGTAAATAGATGTAAACTTTCTCCATCTGAAAGGAAGGCAGATACTGTTTCTGAGGATGTAAAACCTCCAGTTACAGAACAGCCAGGCCGGCGGGATTCTCACGATGAATTTGTTAGCAGTTCAGAGCCAGAGCTGGACTCTGAGACAACACAGCCATCAGGGCCTGAAGTCAGCAGTCAGATACTGCCCAGTTTTGTAGAGCAGGTGGATGCCTTCAAAGCGATTTCAGCTTATAAAGAAGAGGCAGAACCCGAAGGGGAGAAGAAACTTGTGGTTAGTAAAGTGCAGATGCCCAGTGACAATGACACAAATGATGAACCAGTCTTATCCCAGAAAGAGAATAAAACAAAAGAAATTAAAAACAAAAAGTGTAAACAGTTCCCTGTTCAAGTTGCTCCGGTTCCAGCAGTGTCTGCCTCTGGTTCTGAGAAACCAGCTACCCGCAAAAGTGAGCGCATCGACAAAGAGAAGCTGAAACGTGGCTCGTCTCCGAGATCTGAATCAAAGTCCACAGCAAAGTCTCCCATTCATGGATCAGATCCTGACATGTCGGAGCAGAGCATATCGTTAGGCAGAGCTCGGCGAAGAAATGTTAAGTCTGTCTATGCCACCCCTGTTGAAGATGACGCACCAGTTCGCTCTGGAAAGGAAATTACAGAGTCACCACGTTCTGCTCGAAAGCGAGGTACAGACAAAGATGCAACACAGCAAAATGCCGAGCAGGATCCACCTGCTCCGACTCCTGTAGCTAAACGGGGACGTCCTCCAAAGAATCGCAGACAAGGTGAGGAGAGTTCCAACGCTAAAGTAGACAAATCTAAAATGGACAATAAAGACACGGATTCAAATGAATCAGAAAGTGGTGATCGAATTCCAAGACTGTCAAAAGGGAAAACGTCTCCTCACGCCACAAAGGGTCCATCAAATCAGGTGTCCACAGCTGTAGCATCTGCATCAACTAGGAAGGGGGACAAAACTGAGGCAGCTGATGACGACGATCAGGAAATGGATTTTGCAGATGAAGATGCCTTGGCTTTGCAAGATTCATCAACTTCCTGTAAAGATCCATTGATTAAAACTGACCAAAAGAAAGAGGAGAAGGACAAACAAGGCACAGAACAAGGAAAAGAGAAAGATGTGCTCCAGGAGAAAGCTAGTGACGGGAAATCAAATGGGAAAGAGACGGATTCCCTGGTCTTGGAGGAAAAAACAACCTTGGAAAAAGACAGGATTGTTAGAGGAAAAACCAAGTCAACGAGGACTCCCAAGTCTCCTGTCCTTAAGAACCTCAAAATCAAACTGAATGTCACTGAGGTGAAAGATTTCCTTCAGTTGGGTGATGAAGAGATCGGGAATCAAGAAGATTCATCAAAAAAGTTAAGACCTGGTGACCACAGTGATCATGTCTCAAAGTGCACTAACGTTAACAAAGGAGGCTCCAACAATGAAGAGAAGGAAAATTCTGCTTTGGAAACACCAAAAAGCTTAATTTCACAGGAGTTGGAATTGGAACAGGCTGTAGAGAACATTGCCAAACTTACAGATCCGACTTTTCCAGCAGAACCACCAACACCACCTGTTCCACATGCAGATGTGAAAAGTGACCCAGAGGAAGAAAAACCTACCAATCCTGCAAGTGAAACAGAACTCATGGCTGCCATTGACTCAATCACAGCAGAGGATGCGAGCGTGCCCTTAACCCCAGCACCTCCTCTGGCCGCAGAGATCGGTTCAGAACCTGAGATGCCAGACTTCATTCAGCCTGTGAAGGAGGAAGAACCTGACACAAATACGTCTGCTGTACAGGAGGAACCAGCCTTACCAAACACACATAAGAAGGGTATGAGGGGAAGACCAAAAACACCTAAACGTCCTAAAGCCCAAAAGCAAGTGAGAAAAGATTTAAAGGAGGATTTAAAAGATGGACATTCAGTGAGTGAGGAACTGACAGCTCCTGATGTAAAGATTGTGTCTGAGACGCCTCCATCAGCAGCAACTGCTGCAGTTATTACTCCCACTGCTTGGAAGCCAGAACCGGAGCTTTCAGCTGTAAAGGCCGCAGACGTAAACGCAGTGTCAGAGTCATCGTCTGAAGAACAGATTCAACATCCCAAATCTGTTTACCCTCAGTCTAAGAGTCCAATTTGCCCAAAACCTCAACAGTTGCCACCTGAGTGCATCTCCCCTTCTCTGTCCCCGCTAGCTAACAGGCCGAATATCAGACCCGTTCCAACAAGTAGAATTCCGGTTTCTCCACCAGATTGGTGCCACCAGTCTAAAGATGCAGGCATTTCCTCTACACCTGTCATGCCGTTAGCAGCCAAGGAAAACCAGCCTTTGCCCTCAGACTCTGAAAACATGGATATTGATCATGGCACAAGTGACTTGAGACAGATTCTTATGAAACACAAAACTATTTCTCTGCCAGGAAGTAGTTCTGTTCCCAGTAATCTGCCCAACCTTCGAGATCAGAACCCATCTGAAACTAATGCTCAGCTCACAGCTGTTGTGCCAAATAGGTCGCCACTCCCTGATAGTAAAATGCCAGCTCATCCAGCTCCGCCTATTGTTCGACCTCCAGCCTCACTGACGTCTCCCGAGACAAAGTCTGTTATCTCTGTTATTGCATCCACACCGACCTCTGTTATCAGCTGTGTTTGCAACCCTCCTGAGCAGGAGGACAAAGTGAACATGAACATTGGAAATCCCTGTGTGGACATGGCTCTACCCAAACCAACCTACAGGCCCAGCAAAGATGATAGTGGCTCATACCACGGGCCGTCTGTTGGTGACGAGGGGGGAAGTGGGACACGCTTCATTGTTGAGAGCCCCACTCTGGGTACTGGATCCTGCTTAGGTCTGAGAGTAAACACATCTGAAGGAGTGGTCGTGTTGAGTCACTCTGGCCAGAAAACAGAGGGACCTCAGAGGATTAGTGCAAAGATAAGTCAAATCCCACAGGCAACAGCAGGTGATATGGAATCTCAGCAGCTAGTGTCCATGCCCCAGATTAAACAGGAAATGTATGGTCACTCTCAGTCCGGACTTCAGAAGGGGCCTTCATTGCAGACTGATCACGGGCATCCTGGGAAACCGCAGTCAGCTCTGTCAACTATTAAACAAGAGAGTGCTGGAATGGAAAAAATGGATTCTACTTACCAATCTGGACCTCAAGGTGTAGTGAAGCGTCTCACGCAGGGCAACCAGCAAGTAATGAGTTACCATCAAGACTACATGCCATTAAAACATCAAAAGAAAATCGACAGCGCTGATCCTCATGGTACAGATGGAACTAAACCACCTTGGACCTCTGCTGTAAGTCCAGCAATAAGCCCTCATTTGCCCTCTCCACCTGGAAACCATGTAGGTTTTGTTACGGCACCTGGTGACAGACCTCCTTCGCATCTCAGTGCGGTCAAACAGGAGCCAAGATCCCCACGCAAATCAGGCCACCCACACTCTCCATTTACAAAAGTGTCCTCACCCATAGGCTCCTCATCACCCAAGGGCATTCAAGTGATGTTATCCACTGGCCTTCCTGCCATGCAACAGTTTATAACTGGTGTGCATCATCCAGAGCAGTCAGTTATCATGCCGCCTCACAGTGTGCCTGGAGGCTTGGGACGGATGTCTCCTCATTGTGTCACGCAGTCACTTCAAGTGGGGCATCTTGTCCAAGGAGATGTACGGGTCAATACTCCACCTCTCTCTGTGATGAGCTACGGGATTCATGGTGACTCTCTTGCCTCTCCGTGGTCTGGTCCCATGCAGCCACGGCCGACATCACCCCAGGCTGTTGGCAGAGACAAGGTTCTCAAGGTAAACCCTGGTTCTTTGAGGGGTCATGAGGGGGAACAGGAAGAATCCAGACACTTCCACCAGACAGGAAGACCATCTGCTGCCCAACTAAAACTGGAGACTCTGCAGTCAGATCCTCGCGGGCCTTTGCGAGGTAGTGTCCAGTTGGAAACGTACATGGCACAGAGAGACATGCGTGTGCTCATGCACCAACAGGGGGAGCGTTCCACCACAGACCCTCATTCAGGACACATTCAAGAGACTCTTCCCCCGTCCTTGTCTCCAAGAGCACATGTTCTGCCTAAAGGTGTGTCTGAGAAGGATCTAACAAAGTCATTAGAAGCCAAGAGGCCACACTCTCCTCTTGCTAAGGATGGAATGATGGGAATCAGGCAATCTGGGCCAGCAATGGCGTCTCCCCAGAGAGTTGGGCTGATGCCACCAGGACCTAGTGGCTCGTTTCAGGAGTACTCAGGGATGTACTCCAACCCAAGAGGCATCCATTCTCAGATACCAGAGACGACACCTGTTGGACATGTCACGACAACTATGGTGAGTTTGCCTTGAACACACACACACACACACACACACACACACACACACACACACACAGTAAACCCGCATTTATGAAGATTGTATCACATTATGTCCATTCAATTAATGTCACTGACTTGAGTCCTATTTAATTAATACTAATTGACAACATTCAACAAAAACTGAACCTTAAAGCCTTCATAAAGGTAGGAGTCGTTGCTTGCTTGTAGAATTAGTTTTTAGCTAGGTGCACCTCCCAGACTTTCCGTAGCGTGTACTAGCCGGTGTCTGTTGGTGTCTTCCTGACTCTGCTTGTGACACAGTGCACTGTTTTGTTGACTACGCAGGGTGCAGACCTCCAGACAAAACCAGACGGCAAGATGACGCAGCCTGTTAATATGGTGCAGTTGCTCACGGTAAGACAAAACTGGCCACAGTTCAGGATGCGTTCAGGGTTGCTGGTTTAAATGAGAGCTGGCTTTGTCTGACTCACTCGTCTTTTATTTTGTCACATATTTGAACAGAAATACCCCATTGTGTGGCAAGGCCTGCTGGCGCTGAAGAACGACACGGCTGCAGTCCAGTTGCATTTCGTCTGCGGCAACAAAGCTTTGGCTCATCGATCTCTGCCTCTACAAGAAGGAGGCGCGCTGCTGAGGATTGTGCAGAGAATGAGACTGGAGGCGTCGCAGCTGGAAAGCGTAGCCAGAAGAATGACGGTATGTGTCAATCCTGCTGAGTCATTAACTGTTTGATTAAATTCAGAACTTCTAACATCGTTTACCTTTTTCTCTCCGCAGGGAGACAGCGACTACTGCCTTCTTCTTGCTCTGCCATGTGGGCGAGATCAAGACGACGTCCTGAACCAAACCCAAGCTCTTAAGGCAGCGTTTATTAACTACTTGCAGGCAAAGTTGGCTGCTGGTATCATCAACATCCCCAACCCAGGTTCCAATCAGGTGAGACTTGACGCTCGAAGGCGTTCATGATTTGTTTTGATAAAAATTCCATCAACTGATGCAGCTCGTTGAGGGATCTTTAGGCTTATTCACGCACCAGAACCGAACACATTTACACTGAAAGAGAAAGCGCTGATGTTTGGCTGGTTCACGTGGTAGAGTATAAGAATGTGGATGTTATTTATTCTCAAAGCACTGGTTTTAAAAATGCTTTCATTAGCATTCAGCCTCTGTTTGGCCCTTCACTGTGTGGAGTAGTCATTCAACTCCTGTCACGTTTTTACTCACCGTGGCCTCAAATGTAGTGATTTCAATAAAATATCACGGTTTTAAGCTTAGACTTGGTTAATTTTGCTGATGTGAGACTGTTAGAAACTAAAAATCTGACAAAAACGCTTTTACAGTTTTAGCCCCATGAATGCTAGTTTTGTTTAAAGATTTTAAAAAAAAATTTAAAAAATGTTTTAATAGTTTATGATTCTAAAGCATCAAACTCCATTATTCATTGCAGTCACAAGAAATGCATCATCTAAAAAAAAACAAAACTTGGAAACACGACACTGTATATGTAGAACTTTGGCTCATGTAGCTCGGGTCTTTAGCCGCCGCTGGTCAGTGTTTCGCTGGCAAGCCGCTTGGAGATGAGGATTTAATAATAATGTATATTTTGGAACATAAAGTTGATTTCATGGACTAGAGGCTCGTGGCTTTTACTTTCCTCGTCGTCCCTTTTCACTTTCCTGTCGTTGAAACTACTACTTTGCTGCTACTTTGCGTTGCACAGACACGTCCCTCCATGCGTGTAACTGATGTTGGTTGTTGTTTTTCCAGCCTGCCTATGTGCTACAGATTTTCCCACCGTGCGAGTTTTCGGAGAGCCACCTATCCCAGCTCGCCCCCGACCTCCTCAACAGGATCTCCAGCATCTCACCACACCTCATGATTGTCATCACCTCTGTGTAACCTTCACTGCTGGGAACCGTCCCATCCATGGATGTTCTCGCTGATGCGCCTCAGGAAACCAGAGGAATATGAAATTAGTTTTTTCCTGGACACAATGGGAATGTGTAGGATTTACCCTATCAACTCTTTTTGCTTTTTTTTTTCCATCAGCCTTTTTTTTTTTTTTTTTTTCTTTGTCACTCCTGTCTGGTATATTTGTCCTTCTCAAAAGAACTCAGGGATGGACCAAACCAGAATGAGTCTTACTTGACCATTTCTCTGCTGTATTTCTATTTATTGGAGTTTTATTTTAATGTTCAGAGATGCTCTGAAGAAAAAAAAAAAAAAAGAAATCTGAATTAGTGACCATCTGGGTGGCCTGCTTCTTTCATCTGTCGTTTCATTGATTGTCATATTGATTTCCTCACAAGTGAGGATCATAGAAGCTGTTGTACCGCAGCGGCTTACAGGACATTTCATTGTGTAATTTTAAATAATTCTGTACAGACTTCCTCGTCCAGGCTTTCTGTAGAGGAGGAACAGTTAACCTGTAAGACTATGGAGACCCTGTCGAGGACCACATTCGTTTAACAGCTCCTTTAATTCCACCAGCTCTGCTCTTTTTTCTCACACTACTGAAGCAGTTACACCTCTGGCGCCTGCCTTTGCATTGAACAAGCTACAGTATAATTTGGGAGTTTTTGAATACAGGACTTTGTAAATATTTTAAATATTTAAACGTCAATGGAACTTGGACAACCCGACAGAGACGTGAACTCTGGGACACACCAGAATTCAAAGTGTGGAAATTTAGATGGATCCTTAATTTTTGGGTGTAAATACTTGTAACACAAGAAGGTTGGCAGACTCCTGTGTTTGGAGTCTGCTGATGGCACTTCATATTTTGTAACTCAAATAAAACTCCAGAAAACATGAGCCTTTCAGGTAATTCTTTATTTTGAATGTGTTTTTTTGGTAAGATGTCTCAGTGAGCTCAGCTTGATCATGACTTCACTCACTTTGGTGCTTCAGAAGGTGTGACTTCTGTTAATTAAAACAAGGGTTATATTTCATGTCATACAATGAAGATTTAAACAAAAGAAGGGTTTGTTAGATCCTTAGCTGAGTACAAATAGCAACCTGTATCACTAAATAAACAAGACAGGATTTACTAGTACATGAACTACATGGATCGTGTTTATGTGCACAACAACTGCAAAAACATTTTTCTATAATTTAGTGTTGCATAAGTGTGACAGTGTGCTGTAGTTGTATCTGATCATATGGTCAGTACTGTGTTCTTATAAGAGCTCAATTATGAGATCAACAGCTTTAGTTTAAACATTTGACCAGTCGTACTTTTATACTCCTGCTTTCAGGGATCTCTGGTCCTCGTGAGCTGCTGTCCTGCAGGTTTTAGACGTTTCTGCAACACACCTGACTCACATGAATGGATCTCCAGCAGCTTGTTGTCAAGTTCTACACAAGTCTGTTTGTGACCATTAATGTGAGTCAGGTGTGTTGCTGTACGGAAACATCTAAACCTGCAGGACGGTAGCTCACGAGGACCAGAGCTGGAGATCGCTGGTTTAACTTGTACCAAACACACAGATGTTGGTTTTATTCAGGTGCCCCAGATATGCCATGAGCTTACCGTGGCTTTTCCCTGATGTGACTTATTGAAATGTCCTGTTAAAGACCTACATAGAAACATATTGGTTCTAATAAGTTTTTTTTTAAAATGACATCATCAATTAGTGTTTGTTAACCCTCTGAACCCCACGCAGTTTGTCTGAATGTTCTTTTTCTTCTTTTTTTTTTGAGCTCACATCACATTAGTCGTCGCTGTTGACTCGTTGAGCTCATTTTTTTTAACTTCAATCTAAAGTCCTGCAGCTCTGTGGGAACATCACAGCCACGGCTAGAAGTCGAGAGAAAAACATCAGCCTGCAGTTCAGATTTTTGTGCCGATATTTTAACTACATCTTCACAAACTAGCTGTTTCTGACACTGAACACAACCTTAGAAAGAGATTTCAGCAGCAGCTTCTGTAAACTGCTCTTACGCCGTGATGCGTTTGTTTTTATGCTCATGTTTTATTTTCCTCTTAATTTCTCTGATTTGTCTCCACACTCGTCTCCTCTGTGTAAACCCAGTCTGCGCTTCAGGCCAAAGCTCTCTGAATTTTTGTTGCATGACTGTCGGTCACGGCCGAGTGACTCACGGCTTCTCAGTTTCACCGAAGAGTGCAGAATTTTTAGGTTTTACAAGACGTGGTGCAAATGATTTTAGGGCTGCAATTTTTTAAATGAGGCTGGTAGAATAAAGTAAGTTAATAATTTGACAAACCCACCGGCAGGTTTTGGGGTTCAGAGGGTTAAGATAGTGTATGTTGGGTTGTTTATGCTGCATCTGTCATTTAATGGGCTTATTTCATCCCTGAGCTTTAGTTCAGCACATCCCTCTGTTGGCTGGAGATTTGGGGGAAACGTTGCGGTCGTAACCGATGAAACACAACTGAGAACATCTTTACCTCGGTGCAGAGTTGTACAAGGATCGGCTCATCTAACCTGACGTATACAAGTGGGACATATCTTAGCTTCATCTCAAGGGAGAAGATAACTGTTGCATGCACTCGCACTATGTGTGATTTTACTGCTTTATAGCGTCGTGACCTAATGTTTCAAATCATCACTGGAGCCAAACAGCGCCACCAGCTGGTCCTCATACTGGGAGATGTTCCTCTTCATGATGTCCATGCAGGGTCCCAGCAGACGCTCAAAGGCCCGGATGTCAATGACTGCAAGAAAAGGACAACATTTTAGTTTCCTGTTGAACAGATTAAATCTACATCTTCTAGAAAAAAGGAATGAAATCGTATAAAGAAGCTTCTTTAATTCGAAGAGTGGTTGACGTGTGAATGACAGAGCTTCACACCGACACACTCGTCAGGCTGACTAAGATGGGAAATCACAAGAAGTCAACAGGCCTTTAAAGTGTCACCTTTAACCTCTCGTCAGCTTCACACAGTGTCGGGTTCCTTGTGTGATTCCAGCTCGTTCATAAGAGGAGCAGCCGCTTTAGGGAATGTGGTTCACGCTGCCTCGACACAAAATATTATAATTGATTTTTTTAACATCCATCCATCCATTATGGGGGGCTGGAGTCTATCCCAACTGACTCGGGGTGAAGGCAGGGGACACCCTGGACAGGTCGCCAGTCTATCACAGGGCTACACTTAGAGACAGACAACCAAGCACACTCACATTCACACCTACAGACAATTTAGAATCACCAATTAACCTCAACATGTTTTTGGACTGTGTGGGAGGAAGCCGGAGAACCCGGAGAGAACCCACGCTGCACGGGGAGAACATGGAGACTCCATGTAGAAAGATCCCGGGTGTCCTCACAGGGACACGAACCAGCGACCTTCAAGCTGCGAGGCAACAGTGCTAACCACCGAGCCACCTTACAGCCCTTAATTTAACATAATGCAGAATAAAAAACAAAACAAAACATGGTGGTATGGAAGGAAAAAGAAAAATAAACGCACAAAATCTTCTGGTGAAAACCCAGAAAAGAGAAATCATATGTACATGTCATATGCACATCCATCCATCCATCCATTATCTATACACCATTTAATCCTCACTAGGGTCTCAGGGGGGCTCGCCACCGGGAAGCAAACCGGCAACCTTCTTGCTGCAAGGCAACAGTGCGAACCAACTGCGCCACCTTGCAGCCCATGCATATCCATACACAGATAATTAAACAAAAATGTATCCATACTTTATGCTTCTATAAACTTACAATACACAGCATGAAAGGATGCACAGAAAACTCCTACATGTTTCCTACATCTTGGCTTGTCCCACTTGCTAATTCTATCTTCACTCTTTGTTCCTGATATTTTTTTATGAAACACCTGAGCCATGCTGTTTTAAATCCTGTAATATTCTGCCTGAGTTTCTGAAACTACCTTGAGGAGTTTGCTGAAGCATGAATTGGGGAAAATCTAAATAACAGGTGAGCTGTAGCCGTGGGCTCATTGTTAGCAACGCAGTCCTACTGAAGGGAAAAGGAAGGACCAGAATCTACACCGAGAGTCCGTTTGATTCTTATCTTACTTTTTCCTTGATGTAATACTTGTTGTGTTGTTGCTGAATTTTGACTATTTTATTTCAGCAAAACATTTGTTTGTCTTGTGTTTAATGAAAAAAAAACCCTTTGTGGTCTTGTTTTGGTCTCGATGCTGCAGCTCAGCTATCGGCACCAAAAACTTTCAAACAATACCGAGCCTCCAACTCTGCTGTTCACATGTTGCTCACATTGAGCATCACTGAACATAAATTGAGTTTTGACTTTTCTAACATTTGCTCAGCTGCTTCTCCTCTTGACTGAAGCTTATCTAACAGCCGCCTCCTGCATCCTCCCTCCTCCTCCTCCACTGAAACAAACATCAGCTGTACCTAAACACTTGGTGTCTCCCACGGCGTAGACCGACGCTGCCCGAGGCTTGTTGGTGACCAGCGCCAGCTCTCCAAAGTACTGCCCTCTGGAGCATCGAGCCACCTCCACCTCTGTGTTGTCCTGCTGACCCGCCTTCGTCTGCAGCACAAACAAAGAAACCCGTCGGGCATTTTGTGCAGCAGAAATACGCATTAAGATGAAAAGGTTACACCGGCATCCAGGTAACAACCAAATCCATCCATCAAACAGTGAAAAATTACTTTTAAGAGTCACATCTGAGCCATTTCAAAGAGTAAAGGGATCATTTGAGAGGATTTTTTGGGGGTTTAATCAACGAACAGACAGACTAACTGTAGGTTTGGTTATGAAACTGCACTTACTTTGCTTTTGATCATAATCTTCACCTCTCCTGATTCCACAATGAAGAAACAGTCGGCCTTCTCACCCTGCAAGGACACGCAGCAGCAGCAAGGAGGTTAAATCCAACTGCTCTCCTAATTAAAAACAAAGATGAGGCATCCTAAACGCTGTACCTGTGTTATAAGTCGATCTCCATCTTTGTACGCTCGGGCTCCCAAAATGTCCACAATCTTCATCCTCTCTGAGAGCTGAAGTGAATCAGGATGAGGCAAACTGCTCATGAACTGCTGACAAACCTGATAAAGTAAAAGGTGTTTGTGTGCATGCAGGTTCAAACCTCGAGAGACTTCAGCAGAGGAACACACTCGATGAAGGCCTCGTACATCCTCCTCTTCTTGGCGTTGTTTTTCACAATCAGTCTGTGGAACGTGGCTCGATCCTGAAAGCAACCAAAGAATTTCAGTTTCGACGACTGCGTCACGTTTCATTGATGCGTGATGCAGTGGACCATCCCAGGACTCACCAGGCCCCACAAGGCGCCGTCCTGCGTGGCGACGATGGTGGCAGCTCGCGGCGTGTTGTACATGAGGGCCAGCTCTCCGAAGCTGCCCTTGTTGTCGTACTTTCCGACACAAATGCTCGCTCCGTCCTTCTGCACGAGAATGTCGTACACACCTCTGATGGGACACAGAGAGGAGAGGAGGGTCACCGTGAGTCGGATGCTGCCTGGTTTTGTAAGGAAAGCAGAGCGGAACGTCTCACTGACTTCTCTATCACGTAGAAGTTGTCTCCGTCGTCTCCTTGGTCTATGATGTGCTCCTGAGGTTTGACCAACACCTCGAACATGGCGTCCAAAACCTCAGAGAACTGCTCCTGGAGGACATCGTACAGCACATTTCAATGACAGACATGAAAAAACACTCAAACACTAGGCCCTGAGCTGCCGGCTGCAGCAGACGTGAAGTTTTCTAGAAGTTTGTTTCAGTACAGCAGCGGATCAGAAATGTATTCTGACCTTTAACCTTCTGAACGGAGGAGACACTGGAAAATCTTTACAAACAGTTAAGCAGTGAAATGATAATAAAAGCAAAGAGCTGTGATGCTTTTTTTTTGTCCTTCTGTACCGGGTCCAGTGTTTTAAACAGTAGAATATCTCTGCATGCGTCCTGGAGCCGGCGCCGCTGCTCGTCTGTTTTGGGATGAACGACCCGAGGCTCTGTGTCATCGTCCTCATCGTCGTCGGGGTTGTACGCCTCTGCACAAACTGCAGCCGGACAAACAGATTTAAAACCCTGCAGCCCACATGAATTCACATTCATCACACACATCCTGCTCCAGGTGCTGACCTGAGACTCTGCGGTTGTATTTCCCGGTGGTGGACTCTGCAGACAGACGGAGGTCAGGATGTTACACTGGTTAAAACAGAGCACGAGGAAGCTCATCTTACTTCTCTGTCACGGCTCTGGTGTGATGTGAAAATACTCACTGACAGTGTCCTCTTCCTCCTCCTCCTCCTGCTCCTCTTCATCGTCTTTGTTGGACTTGTTGTCTGACTTGGTTTCAAAAGTGACTCCTTTGCGTGCAGGCCTGTTGCTGCGTTTCTTGGCTCGCTGGTCGTTCCTTTGGCTCTCCAGAATCTGTGTGAAATGCTGCACAGCAAATTCCACCAGGTTGGGAGGCCTGCGACGCAGCACCTCCACCGTGTAGCCCTGCAGCAGCTCCCTCAGCCCGGCTGGTATCTCCACAGTGCTCATCATGCAGGTTCAGAGGTCACAGGGCCTCTAGAAGAACTTCATGTCCACTGAGCTCAGTTTTTAACACCTGAAACATCAAACCTCTGCATCAGTGGCACTAAATGACCCGACGGTCTGATAAAACACACTTTCAGTCAAAGTGGCTCCTCCTCCTGCTCTCTAGCTGCGCTGTATTGATTTCTTTATTTGGAACAGCCTGTCGGAAAGTATTGACCGGGACTTTTCACTTTTTACATCACATGCGATCGCAGGCTGTCCGATGGATTACGCCTCAGAACCTGATGATTTGGCAAAGTAACAACAGGCGGAGAGCACTTTGACTGTTTACCCTGAAAGTAAACACAAGATGAATGTCACAGAGGCACAGCAGCACGTCGACAACAAACACAAAGACTTCCTGTGTGGAGTCTCCATGTTCTCCCCATGCAGCGTGGGTTCTCTCCGGGTTCTCTGACTTCCTCCCACAGTCCAGAAACATCCATCCATCATCTCTACTCCTTAATCCTCACTAGGGTCGTGGGGGGCTGGAGTCTATCCCAGCTGACTCAGGGTGAAGGCAGGTTCACCTGGACAGGTAACCAGTCTATCTCTCATTCACACCTACGGACAATTTACAATCACCAATTAACCTCAGCATGTTTCTGGACTGTGGGAGGAAGCCGGAGAACCCGGAGAGAACCCACGCTGCACGGGGAGAACATGGAGACTCCACGCAGGAAGATTCCGGTGCCCCCACCGGGACGGCAACCTTCTTGCTGCGAGGCAACAGTGCTACCAACTGCACCACCCTGCAGCCCGTCCAGAAACATGTTGAGGTTAATTGGTGATTCTAAATAGTCCGTAGGTGTGAATGTGAGTGTGCTTGGTTGTCTGTCTCTAAGTGTAGCCCTGTGATAGACTGGTTACCTGTCCAGGTGTCCCCTGAACCACAATTCAACAACATCATGATTTTCATTACATTTTTATTTATTATTACTTTTGTCAGTTTCAGCTTATTTCAGTGACTGAAGCTGTTTTATCTTCTATAACGAGAGCATATGAGGACGACTGCAGCCTCTTGTCAGGTTACAACAACAACAACACACAGTAACACAGCACAGAATAAAATGTCTGTTCAAAACAGCATGTTTTTAAATCTTTCTTTGTAAAGCCTGGATGTGTTTTATTTGCTCCTGAATGAAGGGGTTTTTGTTTGGACTCATTATTTGGGCAACAACAAACTAGATCAAATATATGAATAAGCACAGCTAGTCGAGGCTTGTGACTCCATCGGTTCTATATTCTTTTAATAAAACTAAACAAACAAGAAAAAAGAAGAAGTTGGACAAAAAAAAAAAAAGCACAGCAGTGACATTTCTATAGATGGATTTTATTTTCTATACATGCTGACATTCACTGACTTATCAATCACTCCCATCATGACTACTCTCATAAGTGGACATTAGACAAACAGAAAGTGAAGATTACATCCCCGGCCACTGGGCGGACCGTGAGCGGACATGATGCCGACAGTTTGAAGGCGTCTATTGCTGAGAGAGCGAACACACACAGTTCAACAAAATGCACCTTTTCCCTGATATGTGCTCCGGCTCGCAGATAACAAAAGGTAAGGCACAACATGTTCACTTCACTCCTTTTCTTATTTAAAAAAAAAACAAACCAACAGAATAAAAAAAAATCTAAAAATAAAAGGAGTGAGAACATTCGACTGTGTGTGTGAGTTTGTGTGTTTTCTGGCACCGTCACAGAGTCGCCACAACATCTCTGCACCGAACTCTCAGCAGGTCTCGATGATCCACGTGTTCTACAGTACCACAACACTTCAATGATAATCAAGTTTAGGACAATTCTTAAAATCTCTTTATGTCTTTAGATGCTCTGTGTGTTTATGTGTGTGTGTGTGTGTGTGTGTGTGTGTGTTCCTGGGATTGACAGCGAGGCGACGTTGAGCCTCCATCACAGGTCCGGCGCTAGCCAGTTCAGGAACTTCATCGCCAGCTCGAATCCTAAGAAACAAGCCTGAAAGCAAAAACAAAACCAGAACAGTTTGTGTGTGTTAGAGATGAAACAGTCGCTCTTTTGTTTTCTGTGATCAAATGTTGAACAATAAAAGTCCTTTTTAACACATAAATAATGACTGTGTTCTTATTCTGTATCCCTGAGTTCACTTTAAGCTTTTATCAGTTTTCGTTTGGTGAAAAAAAACAACCAATACGAGCTTTAAAGCACATTTTAGAGGAAACAATTATTTGTTTTCTTGAGAAGATACAAGAGATGCTCATCAACATATAAACAGCCTCCTGTACGACTGCCCCGGCTTTGAGTTTTCTAACTTTACAGATTAAACTTCAGAGGTGTAACATGTTGATTTAAAACAAGCTATTCTAGATGTTTCCTCTGTCCACTGACGTGTTTTTTTTTTTACTTGTTAAAACAAAAGCACATCATGAAACACAAAATAAAAACCAAAATCATCATATTTGCTGGTGTGGAAATAGAAAACATGCAGAACCTGATCTGATGGAAGAGAAGAAAAATGCATTTTTGTCTTTCAATATTTTATGTTGTGGCTTTTTTCAGTATAAATCTAAACTGCATTCAATGCAGGGGTCTCAAACTCGCGGCCCGTGGGCCAATTGAGGCCTGCTGGACGATATTTTGTGGCCCCCTTGATAGTGTTTTTCTCACATGCACCTGGGCGTTTTATATTTTTATCACTTGTGGGCCACCATGAACATGAAACAACAACGTCAGTCACTTGAAACGTGATCCAGGAGTGTCACCGAGTGGAGGGAACATACATCCTGTCACCCAGTGCAAATGTGTTTCTTTTGTTTTTTTCTGTCTGTGTGAAAAGCTCTTCTCCACCATGAACTGCAATAAGTCAAAGTCCAGGTCCAAACGTACTGCTGAGCATCTTCAAGCCTCACTGAGGGTCTCAAATGCTTCCTCCCTCAAGCTAGATGTGGCTCAGCTGTAAGAGGAAGCGCTGCAGGTCTCTGGCAGTAAGGAGGAGGTAAAACGAGCCTATGTTCTGAAGAACCTTTCATGTTCTGAAGAAGATTGGATCAGTTGTACTTTTTTTGAATACCTGGAACCCTTTGTTGGGGGGATACTCGATGCAGCCCAGCCTCACCCAGACTCTACCTCCAGCAGTTTGAGAGCCCTGATTTAATGCATTTCATTCCTTGTAAACATACTAAAGCTGCAGTCAGAATGTTTGTCTCCCCCTTCTGGCAGTGACAGGGACTCACACAAACACTGCTGTCATCTCTCCTCTATACCAAGTTTCTTTCTTATCTGGAGACTCACAAACTTTTCTTGAACACTTCCAAGGTTTCTCCACCAGTAGATGTCGCCTATTGTCTCTTTCACTGACGTTGTTCCCTTCTTCAGGTTTGGAAAACCGGTCACTGCCGGTTAAAGTCAAACACATGGCGACCGGTGTGCCAGCGTGGGAGTGTCGTCTCAGACAGACACATGACCTTCATCTACCTTTATTACAAGACACGTTCATGACTAAATCATGACGCTGCTAAATGTCCAAATCTAGCATCCAGCTCGTCCACCACGTTACAGAGCAGGGCTGCAATCTGTCACTTATTTTCTTAACTAATCTGCGAGTTGTTTGGTCTATACAACGTCAGAAAGCGGTGAAAAATGGTAATCAGATTACAAATCATCATCACAGACAAATGTCCTGATTTGTCCACAACCCACAGATATCCAGATTACTGTCACAGGAGTAAAGACACCAGAAAATATTCACATTTAAGACACTGGGATCAGAGAACTTTCCTTAAAAACATCACTTAAAACAACTAATCTATTCTGAGAAAAGTCAACAACTGATGAGTTAATCATTGCCGTTCCGTGAGAAGGCTGAAGAACAAGTGAAGCACCACTCACTGCGTTTGCAGGGAACGCTCTGAGCATGACAGCGTTGAAGCCTTTGTACAGCGAGGTCACTCCCTCCTCCCTGACCAGCTCCCGCAGAACGTCCCGGAAGCCGTTGGGATACTTTCCTTCAGGAGCTGAAGGGCAAAGACGCAGCGTTAAGGCACAACACAAACCTGCCTGTCAAAGAAAAAGTGAAAAACGAAGATATTGTACCAGAAGCAGAAAGTCAAAGGCAGCAGAACTTAATTTCTTGTTGTTGGAAAATCATCTCATGACTTTAATCTCTGAAGCTGCTGTTTACGTACAAGTTGCTCTCGACAAGTAGAGAATAGTTTTCTACTGGTGCAACGTCATTTATTATGAAATACACATTTTTTATGATGCAATACTGATTTTTATATTTGCATATGAAGTGTTTTTGTGGATTTTTGCACTGAAGAGGAAGCACTTTTTTCTAATTTCATTGTACATTTGTATATTGACAATAACAATTTCCATTCTATACTCTCAGTACTTGCAGACATCCCGGCACACGGATAGAAAATCTTCACAGATACTAAAGGCTAGATTTTCCACCAGCTATTTTAGTGTTGAGGTATGTACACTTTATTCTCACAGAGAACTGAACTGAGGACCATTTTAAAAACCAAAACACACAGTAGCACCAGCCTGCTGAAACCTCTGAGGCTGTAAAGTATCAGGATTAGAAAAAAAAACATGATTTTCAACATCAACAGGGTGAAGACTGACTTCTGTTCTGGACATCCAGCAAACACACGCTGGTCCTCACATGAAACTCATCACAGCTTGTGTAAAATCAAACCTGTTTGGAAGCGAGACTTGAGTACGTCGGGCGGGATGGCGACGGCCCAGTTGAAGATTCCAGCCATTCCTCCAGCGAACAGCACGCTGGGAATACTGAGGTCGTTGTGGCTGCAGGGAGAAGACGACAGGTCCTGCTGCTCAGACGCCGTTTTTATACCAGACGGCTGCAAACAACGCCGCCGGCGTGAGCAAACACTCACCTTTTTCCTGCCGGCGTGAGGAGGTTCTTTAACCACTCGTAAGACGTGAAGTACATCCCGCTCGCTGGAACGTCTGAGTTGCAAAACAAACCAAAAGAAAAAAATCCAGCGAGTTGAGTCGCAACACTCAGTTCTGCACAACAACCTCCAGAACACACACAGCCTCTGATTATACATAATGAAGGGGATATATTTCTATGTAACCACACAATGATTTACTGCTGTGATGTTTTTGTCTTTACAAAAACACATTAAGAAAGATTCTGTAAAAACAACCTACAGGTGAAAACACACAAACTTAATAATGACCGCACAGACGTTATTAACAAGCTGTTAATTTAGTTCGATGTCTTCAAAAGCACCTGATAAAAGAGAGCCCCACAAGCCCAAATTAAGCTTCACGCTGGGGAATAACGAAGCTGCAGTACTACGACCTGCTTCTGTAGTCATGATTTAGCTTCCTACAACTCTGTCCGACTCCTGAAGGACGGTCTCAGTCTGCAGTTGCCTTTTTTTCTCCAGTCAAAACCATACTAAGTATACAGCTAAACCCAGCGTCCTCTTTACCCAGCATGCCTCTCAGCTGCTCGGGTGTGTTGTGTCGCTGATGTCGCCTCGAGCTGTCAGACACGAGGATCTACAGAAGCTCGTTTCCTTCTTTCTCCACAACGACAGACTTATAAAAAACGTTCGAATTTGTCGTTTTCAGGCTCAGTCAACGCTGACTCGAGGGAAATTATCACACGATTTAGGAGATATCACAGAGAAAAAGCTCTTAAGCAGCTTTATCACATACAGAACCCTCCACATGTGTTTTACTGGCGGAGTGAAAAATTCAACTTTTGCTACTTCTATGCGGAAAAACTGTGAATTTTTACTTAACATATATACATGAAGGGAACTGTATGAACATCAATACATATATTATATGCGCAGGCATAAATACACTATCGCTGTTTAAGAATCCTTGGGTTGCTGTGACAACAATGGTCATTTTACCATCATTAAGTACATTTTACTTTGGAAAGCAGCACTGCAGTATTTGTTCTGCTGTACTTTTGGTCATTTTATCCTGGTAAAAATACTTATTTCTAGTCTAGTTTTTGTTTGATTTATTTGTCCTGGTTAATAAAGTAGGGCTGCAAGGTGGCGCAGTTGGTAGCACTGTTGCCTCGCAGCAAGAAGGTCACTGGTTTGCGTCCCGGTGAGGACACCCGGGATCTTTCTGCGTGGAGTCTCCATGTTCTCCCCGTGCAGCGTGGGTTCTCTCCAGGTTCTCCGGCTTCCTCCCACACAGTCCAAAAACATGTTGAGGTTAATTGGTGATTGTAAATTGTCCGTAGGTGTGAATGTGAGTGTGCTTGGTTGTCTGTCTCTAAGTGTAGCCCTGTGATAGACTGGTTACCTGTCCAGGTAACCTGCCTTCACCCTGAGTCAGCTGGGATAGACTCCAGCCCCCCGCGACCCTAGTGAGGATTAAGTGGTGTATAGATAATAGATGGATGGATGGATGGATGGGTTAATAAAGTTGTCTTGCATGTCATGTGACTCACAGCACAGGTGCAGCGCGGGAGAGAGATCGGTCGGGTTAAGCGGCCAATTTTACATCCCGTCTGCTGTTATTTATTTTCTGGTCATCCAGGAGAACACAGTAATTACTGACCTTAAGAAATATTCAGAGAACCGTATAATTTGTTTAGAGAGAATGAAAGAGATTCGAATGTGATATTGTCATGTCTGTGTTATAGCTTTCATGGTGTACCAGACATGTAGCTTCTGTGAAGATGAAACCTTCTGGTGGACGTCAGTACGACGCGTGGACTCTTTCAGTGACCAGCAGTTACAAACACAGTCTGCCTAGAAATAGCACTCAAGCTTTTGCTGCTTTTCTTTTGACTCTTTCCTTTTGTCTAATTGTGACAAAATCATCAGTTTCACTCTCGTGTTTGTGACACTTTTGCAGGACGCTGTATGCAGACCTCTAAATGCTCTGCTGTCCTCCTGTTGACCAGTAGGATGTTTTTATGAGACAATACCCACGGTTGTGCAGACACACAAAGACGCAGTGGAGGCAGAAATGTGCCGAGCAAAGGCAGTGATGTCGACAACGTGGGATGTAAAATCCCTTTAAAGACGATCTGGTTGTTTTATGACACAAATGCATTAAACGTGTTTGTTCAGTCGTCACACGAAGCGGTTCGGTGAATGTAAACAGACACTTTGTTTGTTCAGAGGAAACCTCCGCGGGGCTGCTTTAAGAGAGTGACTGGTTCTCCATTAAGTCTTCCTGTTGTTGGATCGACTAAATATAAACATCCTGAACTAAATGAACTAATTCTGACGAATATAAAACATGTAATTAAAGAACTGAACAGAAGCACCTCTCATGAGGGTGAGGGCGGTGCCTTTGTAGATGCCTCTGATTCCAGACTGCTTGTACAGCTGTTTGACACAGTCCATGGGTCCTGCATACTTCACCTCTCCTGTCGATGCCTGAATCTGCAATCACACACATCACACGCACATTATTTCACACTTGATGGATATTTCGTCCAAAAAACTCCTTCAGATTTGAAGCAACTAAACATCTGTGACAAGAGGAGCCTGATTAAACAACAAAACTATTTCGTGGACTCAGTTGGTGATTAGATCCTGGCTATCTGCACAGAGTGACCTCTGACCTGTAGGAGACATTTGATGCGCTCTCCAGGAGCCATGATGGCCGTGGTGAAGACACCGGACAACATCCCTGCAGCAAACAGCTGTGGATACCTGCAGGAGACGAGAGAAAGCGGCTGACGCACAGACAGGCTACCACCCGCACAGCGTTCAGAACGGTGACGTAACACCACGACCACCTGCGACAGAGCAATCACCTACGTGAGGATTTCATCGGGGGTTCTCTGTTGTAGCTTCTTGCCCAGCCCGAATCCAAAGAAGCAGACGGCAAACATGGGTGTAACGCCGATGATTGGGGCTGCCATGCCTTTGTAGAGTCCTTTCACTCCCTGTAGAGGAAGAAGATGAGGGATCAGCGGGAGGAAGGAAAGACATGGACTCCAAAGATTACAGCAGCGAGCGTCCTCACCTCTTTGGCTAAAGTCTTTTTAAAACAATCCATGGTCCCATTGTACAGGAGGATCTCGCCAGGTTTGGCTTTGGGTTGAGTCTGTAAACGCACCTGAAAGAAAAAGAGGATGAAGTCTGTTTAGCTCACGATATAAAAGTAACTGCTGTTCTGTAAGCATGTAGTTACACTACACAGTATTAAACACTAGTTTTCCATAAACTTTGGAGCGTTTTTTGATAGCTGGGTTTCCACAAACTCATCTGGCATCACAAAGTCCTGAAATCAACGTCGGTATTTATGATATTGTGGCTGAATCCACGTGAAGGTGACTGGAGGCTGATGTCGGAGACGTTAGAACGATTCGATGATGTTTAGACGGTGCAGATGTAGACGTAGCTGTTTATCGATTCACTTTATAAATACCTCTCTCATCCCTGTTTCTAACACCTGAAGAATTCGTACAGTGCTGTTATGTTCTGCTGCACTTTTAATGCCTATCTTTTTGGGGTTTTTTGCAGCTAAACTGTTTTTACGTCTGCTGATGCACCTCGGTGACACATTCATGAATATTTCAGCTTCTAAAACACGAGCTTTGTTGCTGTATTTTGGCTCAGGTTACAAGAAATGTATTATCTTTGGGTTTTGTGTTGCCGTTTGGACAAAAGAAGCCCCTTGAAGAGAACGGATTATAAACAGTTATGTGGTGAATTCTCATAATAATCTACCAATTAGCAGACAATGACAACGATCAGTTGAGCGTGACATCAGTGGGATGTAATCACTGGGTGCCTATAAATACACATGTCCTGTATCATGTTTAGTATCTGGCTGCTGATAGGGACGACATGTACGCTGCAGCTCTGGCAGACACACAAAACACATTCAATTCAGAAGAGAAGCTCTAAACGAATGCTGATCTCGTCGCTGGATGTTCACGTACCAACGTTTACGTCAGTGTTGTGTTTACAGCTTGTTTTCTAGCAGGACGCGAATAAACTGTTTAAACATTAACTTGTTGGCCAGACGAACGACAAGTCCTGAAATCACCTCTTTTGAATAACAAATCCTGAGTATTAGTTGACCAACACTGTGTCTGCAGTAAGCTGATCACATATTTATCTGTATTCAGGAGTGTGGTGCAGCAGAAACCCTCCTGCATTCAGGTGAGCAGGAGGCCAGAGCAGCTGACTCATGCATCAGGCTGAATGTGGGTCAAAGGGCTGCAGCAGTAGCAGAGCTGATCCTCAGAGCTCCCCGCAGAAACACCAACACACTCAACAGCACCAGCAGCAGACCTGCACACAGCTGACTCAGGCCGTGTGTGTGCGAGGTCACCACACAGACTGTGTGTGTTGGTAACGCGGTGACACGTCCACACACGGACTTACTTTGATGGTGTCCAGCGGGTGTCCGGCGAAGACGAGGCAAACACCTCCGAAGCCTCCCGCGAAGAAGTTCTTCAGCGGGCTGATCGGCTGCGGCTGTTTGGACATTTTGACTTTCAGCTGCAGGAAGAAAAGACAAAAAAAAACACAAAACACGAGAGCAGCGAGTGAAACAAAACAAACAACAACAAAAAAGACACGGAGAGAAAGCAGGAAACAGTGACTAACATCCTACCTGTCCGGCTTTTCCTTTGGGAGATATGTGTGTGTGTGCTGCTGTCAGTCCGCTCTGCTGGACCTTTGCCCCACTTACTCACCCGGACCGCTCTGACTGCAACACCGCTTCACTCCAGTCCGTCTCTGTTTGGGGTCCGGGTGGAAACTTTCAAGTTTGAACGAAATAGACCTAAAATAGTCGTATAAAGTGCTTTTCTTTCTTTCGTTCTTTCTTTCTTTCTCATCTATCTTTCTCATCTATCTGTCTATCTATCTATCTATCTATCTATCTATCTATCTATCTATCTATCTATCTATCTATCTATCTGTCTATCTATCTATCTATCTATCTATCTATCTATCTATCTATCTATCTATCTATCTATCTATCTTCATTTTTAAAAAGAAATTAAAAAGGAAGACTAATAACTTGTTCTTTTATTGTATTTTATGGCACAGAAGCAGGTAAATCCAATGAAGAAAAGCAAAAACAAAAAGACAACAGATGCAGAAATTCAAAACACAACAGATCAACAATAATAAATACTAGTACTTAACCTTATTCAGGACTTTTGGGTTCTTTTGGACCCCAGGCCATTTGGTTTAGGTGACAGGAATTGTTTTTTTATTTTATAGGATTTTTTTTTATATAAAAAGAGGGACATCTGTCATGCATTTGAAACCAAAAATACATCAACTTGTCAGAAAATTTATTTAACATAGTATAAAAGCCTGTAATGAATACCAACAAATATTTTGCACATACTCTTTCTTGGGGTCCAATAGACCCTGAAAGACCTTCTACGTATGGCAACATGAAAGTCCTGAATAGGGTTAAGCAAAAAAATAAAAACAGTCACAGTTATTTGTATAGCTTATTCAAAACACACATACTCTAACAGATTTCCTGACCAGTGTTGGTTATCAGATAAGGTTAAGACCGCACAACCTTATAATCTAAAGATTCTCTAATAGCAAGCATATTGGTGACATTGGAGAGGAGCGACTCCCTGTCACGAGGAAGAGACCTCCAACAGAACCAGGCTCAGCGAGGGCGGACATCTGCCACGACCGGTCGGGGGGATGGGTAAAGGGGAGGCAGAACAGGATAGCAGAGATAAAGCATAAACACTGGACGGGTTGGTGGAACCAGTGGCTGCAGATCAGACCTGAGCAGCTCCAGAGCCAGAAATACCTGTAGAGCTGGAGAGTAAGAAAAGACACACCACAAACTATAGGGGCAATATGCAATGCAAAGTCTAAAAAGCAATAAACTGACATAATCAAGTAAAGCTATAAAAATAGGTTTTAAGTGGTGATTCAAAAGAAATCCCTGATTCTCCTCAGGCAGGTTGTTCCAGACAAGAGACAGAGAAAAAACAAAAAACATCGATTCTCAAAGGAAGGGTGCTGAGAACAACAGGTACTAAAATAAAGGACCATTTTCGCTCATGCTGAACTCTGTGTCTGCTGGACATGCTTGCCTGCATTCAATCTGCTGCCAAAATTCAGAGTTTCTTGTGTCCTGAGTGTGATTTGAAAACACAGTCTACAGTTCTGTCATGTTGTGAACTTTACCAACATATTCTGTCACACAGTTACTCTCACAACAACAAGTCTGACAACTTTCACTGTTAAAATATAGCTTTATTAGTTGTATTATAACACAGTCGCAGCACTTTTGCGGACAATGTTAATCATGGAGACGCTCACCGCTCACACACACCCACACACACACACACACACACACTGTAAACAGACACGCAATTAATCAAAGGATGAACACTCGAACATGAACTAAAATCTGATATCACTTCTGGATTGTGTCAACCTTCCAGACGGAGAAGCCATGCCAGGGACAAAATCAGACAAGACGGGAGAACAACATCAATCACTACGTTATTGGCAGAAATCAGGGAAGGTACAGTTTGCTGTTAAAGTATTAAAACCACAAGGAGATAAAAAATAAATGCCCTGTGTTTCCTCTCCTTTCACTTTCAGCAGGAACATGAAGATTCTAACTGGAAATCAACGATGGATCACGTCAGATAATAACACTCTTCGTCTCCATGAAGCCACAGCTCACGTCAGCCAAGACTAAGTTGTTATAAAGCCTTATTGCAGCATGGTTAGTTTGAATCTGTAAACAGTCATGAACATCTTATGGAGCTTTGCATGTGCAGGTACAGAGCGGATATTTTAAGGTGCTGGAGAAGCTGAAAGTACCAGACTGAGATAACTGTAGACGCAGGCAAGACTCAATATGCAGCAGCAACGTACTCAGCTAGAAGCTCAGTGATGGCAACACGTGAGCCGGAGTGTGCTTTTCTCACTAGAAGAGTAAAAGTTCAAGTTGTTCTACTCGACCTTAATTTGAATTATGAGAGGATGAATGAAAGAGAAAGTCAATTTTCAGAGTGCAGTACTCCATAAAGAAAACAATGCTCAGTATCACACAGTAGTTTGGTCCCACTGAAAGGGAAGCCCGTAAAGGTCCAAAGCATTCGCTCAACTCTCAAATAATGGCACCATCGCATGTATCCAAACAGCAGATTTAAACCTTTAAATGTTCTCTGAAATAAATTTGGTTCGGGTTAGTTTGGTAGGCGTCAGCTTCAGCTGTGGCTGCTGTCACTTTAGCTTCAAAATACTTGTAAGTACATGCAGTTAGTCCATGTAAGGTTTATAAGGTCGTTATTGCTAAGAATTCACTTTGAGAACAGCTTCGATGTTTGGCCTGTGTTTTGGCGATTTTTAATTTCCAAGTATGACAAAACTTTGCAGGTTTGTTTTGTGCATTTGTCATATTTTTCTCCGATCCCACTTATTGTTCAAATATAACACTTTAGAGAAGGGAACAGCTTTGAAAACCGTAACATCTTTATGAAATGAACGTCATATCCGCGCTGCAGCTCTGGAGTCCCAGAAAACACTGGCAGAGCTGGTTTGTCTCAGCACAGGCTGGCACAGAACACAAGTTGTCCTCAAACATCTGCTCTTCCTCCTCCGAGCTTCACCGCGCCTCCCTGCAGCAGACGGGAGCAGACTACAGTGTGTGAGCATGATACTGATATGGTTAGTCCTGGTTCTCACAGATCTGTGGGAACTCCTTGTAAATCTGCTGCACGATTAGCTTATCCATCTGTTTCGCTGTCGCGCTCCCCTCGTCCTCTCCTGGATCTTCTTCCTCCCTGAGAATCCTCTGCAGCGCCCCCTGCAGGTCGGACAGGCGGTGCTGGTGCTCCAGGTAGTCCGTCGAGCGCATGATGGAGTGCATGAGGGAGAGATACTCCATCCGCAGCTTCACAGGGAAGAGAAGAAGGCGATTGTGGTCAGACAAGGCAAACGATTACTGATGTAGCTCGTATTGTTTAATATGTTTAGTCTTCTGCTCAGACTTGGAAACAGGGGAACAGCCACTTGGCTCTGTCTAAAGGTAACACCTAGCAGCTCCTCTAAAGCCCTTTAATTAACACGTTACATCAGCAGCTGTGAAGTGTCTCACCTTGTCTCCAGGTGAAAGGTCAGAGATTTGTCGAACGGCGATGTCGATCATCACCATCATGTCAGTACGGTAGAAGATGTCGGCCGTCTCCCGGCTGGCGAAAACATCCTGCAGGAACTTGAGCACCGCGTGTGGTGCAGGCGGGGTGTGTTTGAACATGCACACAGGGTCATCTGGAGGGGAGGCGATAAAGGACGTCACTCTTTATCAATTCTTGAATTAGAAGAAAAACAGGAAACATGACAAACAGGAATATTTTTACCTCCTCTGTTCAGGAGCAGCAGCACTTTCTCGGACAGGATCTTCACGTTTTTCTCCTTCAGCTCCTGCATGATCACGTTGTTGCTGGGTGCTGGTTGGCACAGACGAGACGCAGACATGTAGCGCAAACAAGTATTTATCACAAAAAAATATCCTACACACCACTAACGATGACTTTGCTCCTTTTACGTTACTTCTTCCTCTGAACATCAAAACCCACAGACAGGTTAGAAAGCCATGTTATCTTTGAAAAAATTGCCAAACTTGCCAATTTTTTTCAGAACCTGTAAAAACAGAAGGGACTGTCAGATCATATGCTCTTATGTGCTGTTCTGTTTGAAAAGTTCCTCAAAATCTCGTCATTCTACAGGTCTCATTTAGAAATTAGCCAAAAAATATACCGTTTGCTCTCACCAGACGCTGTAAAAACAAACTTCTTGGCTCCTTTATCTAACCATGAAGCCTTTAGTGACGTCTACCAACACTGACATGACAAACATTCAGCTGAACTGCAGGCTGTAGAAGGAAAGGATGGAAACAATCTACAAGTGGTAGCAGTGAAACATCTATGTTATGAAGAGCTACGATGTGCTCCAATAGTTGTTCAGGTTTTTAAAACTTTCTTAAATTAAATAATCAAAGTAATTTTTTATGATATTGCACAATATTTTCGACTTCTCTCTACCTGTAGCCTCCATTTCATTGTACTTTTCCTGCTATAACTTGTGAAAAAGGGTCTACTGAAGCCATTCTCACCTGTGTGATGCAGGTTGAAGGCCAGCAGGAGGTTCAGGAAGATGTCAGGCAGCTGCTCCGTGGGATCAGAGGGAAGTCCGTCCTCCACCACACCCAGCAGAAACTGAACAAACTCAGCATTCAAGTGTTCTGCAAGCAGGGAGGGTCAGGATTAGCTCTGCTTTTTAGAATAATGCACATCTAATGCATCTAATAAATCACTCGTCAGACTTCCTGATCTATTCATCCTTTAACAATCTGCTAGATGAAGAGATAAATATGTTGTCAGGAAGCGAAACACAAAGCTTTTCAGTGCTCTGATGTTATGTGCAAATGATTACATGTCACTGCAAACACAGCAGATGTATATAATTAAAGGACGCGTCATACCGTAGTGATGATATGGCACCTGCTCCCCCATTGAGAATATCATCGTTAGCACCAAAGCTGTGTAGCACATCTTCTGGTGTTCTGGTGGAAAAAGCACACACAAAAAAAAACTGTGAACCGGAGTAAAAGAAAGATAAGAAAGAGGAAGAGACAGTGAGAAGTGAATATGATCACCTTGTGTGTCAGTTTGAAGGTCCCTGGCCAGCTCCATGGGGAGGATGGAGTTG